TTACTTCAGTTACCACAGCTAAATAATTAGAAAATAAGATGTCAATAAAATAAAATATCAAATGTGTAATGAATTCTTAGAATAGCCATCAACATTTTCAGTTATATGCTGTATGTGCTTATAAAACCTAAGAGATAACATCTGAAATAAAAACCTATTGTCCTATCTTTTTGTTTTGTTTTGTCTTTTGGAGTCAGGGTTTCATTATGTAGTTCAGACTAGCTTTGAAAGGTTCATTTGTAATCCAGGCTGGCCTCAAACTCACAGTGACCCTCCTGCCTCAGCCTTCCAAGTGCTGGACTTACAGAAGTGTGCCACCATGCTTGGCCTTTCCTATCCTTTCTTATAAGGTGGAACTGACATCTTTTTGAGTTTCCTGTTATCATAGTAGACTTTGGGATGTTGCCTATTCACCTCTCTGCTAACCAGTGTGATCCACAACTATTTTGCATAGTTCCCTTGTCAGAAACATTAATTTTTTTTCACTGTAAATGATTGCTTATGAGCTCCAGTCCCAATCCTCTAAGAAAATTTCTCCATGGTATTTTGCACCCATTATTATTATTATTATTATTATTTTTTTTGTCTTTTTTTCCTTTTTATCGGTACCGGGGATCGAACTCACGACTGCCTGCTTGCAAGGCAGGCGCTTATGCCGCTGAGCTAAATCCCCGGCCCCCACCCATTATTTTCTGTGTAAGCTATTAAACTATTTATTCCACATTGTTCAGGATGGAGTCAAACACAAGCATTGGCCAATGCTTTGGGTTTCGAGTGACATCATCGTTGTTGTATAATTTGTCAACAACATCTGTACTGCCTTTGGTTTGTTGTTTCAACCTCAGGCTTCCATTCTGAAGTTTCCCCATCAGTTTGTCCACCATGGTGCAGTACTGACATTAACACTACCAGTATATTTTTCTTTGCCATGTAAGAGGCCAATGTAAATCTTTCAGAAATCCAAAGATTGTACTACACAAGTCTCTATTTTGAAATTGCAACATTCCATTGAGAAGGCGCAAACAAGAGAGGGGGAAGGGAAAAGGAAAGAAGGGACAAGTAAAAAAGAAAAGAAGGAAAAAGTGGAAACAAAGTTTTTGTAAATGAAGAAGGGAAGAAGGATTGAGGAGAGGAGAGGGGAATGGGAAAAAAAAGAAGCAAGACAGATTATGTACAGGTACAGGCTCCCTAAGATGCATGTTATTATTATGTACATCTAAAATATACCAATAAAAAGAAAAGGGAAGAGCATTGGAAAAAAATGAAACCCAACATTTCATTTCTGCTTGTTCCTGCTTACTGTTCCTGCACTGGTCTACTTGTGCTGTTAGCAAATGTAACATCAATTTGAAACCACTGTCAGGGTCACCTTCCCATTAGTTAGGGAGCAACAAGTCTGTTTACAAAGTCATTCAGTTTATTATTTATGAATAAGGACCTGATGGCTGAGTTCCAGGATAAATTTGTAAACTGCAAGCATAATAAGCCTTTGCGTTTCTAAGGGTGTGGCATCTAGTGACTCATCCTCTTCCATAAGTCTTCTTATATTCTTGTGAATATCATGAGAAATCTTCACTAAGTACAGCAGGCCTATAAATACTTTCAGTTCAGCTAGTGAGATTTCATAATAAATACATTTACTAGAAATTTTGCAACTATAACTAATTTCCCATTTTGTTCACAATAATATCTGTTTTAAGTAATAATTCAGTATCTGATGGCAGTTTTCAGGCAAGGAATAGCAACATAAACTGAAAGAAGTTTAAATCTATTTTCTTTGTTGTTACTTCTTATTGTGTAGTTCAGGCTGAACTCACTATATAGCCCAGGCTGACCTGAGACTCATAGCAATCATTTTGCCTCGGCTCCCATGTGCTGGGATTAGAGCTATACACCACTGTGCCTACTTTAGGATTTATTATTTTAACCGACCAATTGTGTGAAGTTCTCTGGCTCTCTTGTGCTTCTCTTAGTTAACCTCTTAGGACTGATTACAGGGTAGGTGGTGGTGGTGGGGTGTGCACTGAACAGGGAACATCACAAAACAGGAATGACGGGGCCAGGGGTATAGCTCAGGGGTACAAGCACTTGCCTGGGAAACCCAAGGTCGTGAGTTTGATCCCCAGTACCAAAACCAAAAAAACAATAAACAGGAAGGAAGTAAAAGGACAATTTTCCTTTGTGCTGCACTTATCAAGGAGGAAAACGCTGCCCAGGTGCTCTTGTTTTATCCATTTCCTTAGTCGGGGGTGGTGTGGTCTGGCGGCTGAAGAAGGCCCTCTGCTCAGTCCTTCTGATGATCTGTGTCACACAGCATTCCACACACGGTGGTGTACAGGGAAGACCACGTTAGGAGGCTCGCAGGCATTTAGATAGGGTGCAACAGTGAGGGGCTGTCTGTACCACATAGTTTGGGACTCAGCTGGGAAGAGTCACAGGTTAGGAATCAACTCAGCCTGGGTTAGGATGACTAGAGCTGTGAGTTGGGCACAACTTCCATGGCCTTCAGTGCAGCATAGGCGGCTCCCAGCGCAGCTACTGGATGTGGTGGGAAATGTGAGTGTGGGAAGGAGAGAACAGAGTTCTGAGAGGGCAGATGGGAGTACATGGCCCTCAAGGAACTGACCTCTCTGTCACAGTGTCATTCTGCAAAGTAGCTATACCCTTATCCACATTGAGAGCTGGGTGAAACTCACTCCTTCATTTCCGAAGGGTCAAAGAATTAGTGGCCTTAAAACTCCCTGCAAATGGGGATTTAGCTCAGCGGAATAAGCGCCTGACTTGCAAGAAGTATGTGGTCCTGAATTCAATCCCCAGTACTGATAATAAAGAGAAAGACAAACAACAACAACAACAACTCTCAGCTATAAACATGTGGAAAAAAAACAAAACAAAACAACAACAACAACAACAAAACCTCCCTGCAAATGGCCAGGGATTTAGCTCAGGGGCATAAGTGCCTGGCTGGCAAGTGCGAGGACATTGTTCAGTCCCTGATACCAAAACAGCAACAACAACAAAAACTCCCTGCAACAGGCCTCATGTGGTCCAGACCCTCTACAGTGTCTCCTTACATTGTTTCAGTTAAAACATTGCAAAGTTCACCCCCTCAAATACTTACGATGTTACATGCCTTTTTTGTTTGTTTTCTGGTTGGTTTTTTTGTTTGTTTGTTTTTGTTTTTTGTCTTTTGTCTTTTTGAGACAAAGTCTCACTATGCAGTTCAGGCCTTGACATCACTTTGTAGACCAGGCTGGGCTTGAGCTAGCAATGATCATTCTGCCTCGGATTCTCAAGTGCTGGGATTACACGTGTGCAACACCATGCCTAGTTTACATGCCCTGTTTTTAAAACTGACATTCTTGGACTGGGGATTTAGCTCAGTGGCATAAGTGCCTGTCTTGCAAGCAGGCAGTAGTGAGTTTGATCCCTGGTACACGATAAAAACCAAAAAGACAAAAAAAACCAAAACTGACATCCTTGTAGGGGTGGGGATTTAGCTCAATGGCATAAGTGCCTGCCTAGCAAGCATGAGGTCCTGAGTTTGATCCCCAGTACCCCACCCTCCAAAAACTGACATTCATTTCTCAATTTGTTTTTGAAGTTTTCCTTCCAGCCCATGAATGATATAAAATACTATTTAGAAATTCCTACTAATACATGTTGGGACCTGGTCTCCGAAGGACCAATTATAGAGCAGTGAGAAAAGAAAGTGAAAAGGCTGGAAATACATTAATAAAACAATCATTTTCACACCAAAACCATTTCAGTACCATAAACCAGAGCCCTAAAGACAATGTTAAAACATCTGTCTCAAGCTGGGTGTGTTGCTGCACACTTGGAATCGGGAGGCTGAAACAAGAGGATCACTTAGTTCCAGATCAGCCCTACATAGTGTACATAGCTCTACAGGCCTATATAATGAATTGAAGCTCACCTTCAAACACAGAAGTGAGAATCTGTCTCAAAGTAAAAACAATCTGTCTCTGTGGTAGAAATAGGCTATTTTTTTCCTCTATATTAAATAATGATGTTTTTGGATCACTCATCAGGCTGCACACTCAGAGGACGAAAAAGGAAAAAGATTGTTCTCTTGCAAATCATTAGATGTCTAGGTGGAAAACGAGTTCCCCCTCCAGCTTTTAGAAGCTGGAATTAGGCCAGGGATTTAGCTCAGCGGCAGAAAGTGCCTGCCTTGCAAGTGCGTGGTCTTGAGTTCGATGCCCGGTACCAAAACAAAAACACCCCCAGCTGGAACCTAAACATACAGGTGTTCAGGAGCATGCTTGTAATCCTTGTATTCTGTGAGGCCACGAATTGCAGATTCCCTAACTGCCCAGTTTGGGCAAATAGAGATTTAGCTAGAGAACTCAGTAACTTAGCCAGACGCTGTCTCAAAATAAAAAAAGATCTGGGGATGTGGCTTAGTGAGATGGCCAGGGTTTAATCACCAGTATGGAAGAAAAAAAAAAAGAAAAAGAAAAAGAAAAAGAAAGAAAGAAAGCTGTAACCCAAATAGATAAATACTCCCTGGCAAATGGAATCTCCTAAGTTCCAAGCGAAGGAAGTGGCTTGTGAAAAGGTCCTATAAATGTCCATCAGGAAATAGGAGAGGACGACAAAGACAAACACTATTAAGTGAAAAAAAGTACAAAAATAATACCCAGGCTCCCAACCCCCCCCCCCTTTTTTTTTTTTTTTGAGACGGTCTCTCTATGCAGTCCTGGCAGGCCTTTAGCTCACTTTTGTACCCCAGGCCGGTCTCACACTAGCAACAACTCTTCTGCCTCAGCCTCCCGAGTGCTGGGATTACAGTCCTGAGCCACCACGCCCAGTTTAACCCCTTGCTTTGCATTCCACCCTGTTGGCACGGTACCATCGCCCAGGTACACAAATCCTTCTCCCGAGGGGCTTGCCAGCAGAGGGCGCCTTGGGCCCGCGCCTCCCGTGCTGGACCGGGCGGCGGGGGCGGTGCGTCCTCAGGCCCGGGGCGTGGCCTCACGCTCACGTGACCCTTGCTCATGGCGGCTGCGGCTGTGGCGCTTGCGGCCGAGCGCCGGAGCCGGATCCTTTAGCCGAAGTGTGGGCCCGCGTGAGTCCGCCTTTCCTTCGGCCTCCTCTGTCGTCTTCAGGAGTGCAGCTGGCGGAGCTGGGATGGCAGAGCGAGGCCTGGAGCCGTCGCCGGCTGCGGTGGCGGCGCTGCCTCCCGAAGTGCGCGCCCAGCTGGCGGAGCTGGAGCTGGAGCTCTCAGAGGGTAGGCGCGGGGCGCGAGCGGCCGCGGGCCTCGGTCCCGTGGGTCCCGTCTGCGGGGGACGGGAGGCCGGACCCCGAGCTCTGGGGCGGGCGGAAGCGGGCGGCGGGGACTCTGGGCTGGCTCCAGGCCGCCCCTCGCCTTTGCCCCTGCGGCGTGTTTGTGGCGGCTTTCATTGTTTTCCCCTGCGGCGGCCAGGCTGAGACTGGGACAGAGGTCCGCCCGCCCCGGGCTGCTTCCGCGCTCCCCGGACCCCCACCCCCAGGACAAAGCTGCGCCCTCCGGCTGCTGCTCGGGCGTCGGGCCGGAGGGGGGTGGCGGCCAGGCGGGCGGCTGACACCTTCCTCTGCCTTGGCTTCATGGAGGGCCCGCGCTTGATCCAGCCCACCTCTCCGTGAGAAACGAGACTTGGACAAGCGGCGCCTGCGTTTCTTCCTCTCTAACAATGCGAGGTGCCTCCTCACTGCTGGAGGGAACTAGGAGCGGGGGTGCCAAGGGAGAGTGCAAGCGGTGGCTCTGATCCCGAGAGACGCACCGCCGTACCTTTAGACCACCTTTGTCATTAGGGCTTTTTGCTAGTGCTTGTGTAGGCGCTGAATTTTCTGAATCTTTCGGTCACCTTTTGGAGTCTCTGAAAACGGGGAGAGAGGTGACTGTCGGTAATGAGCAAATCCTGGCCCGCAGTATACTGGAAAGGTTGGATTTATTTTGAGAATTTTAAAAAATGCGATACAGTAAATCAAGGCAGTATTCTTAGAGTCCCTTTAACAACAATGAGAAACAGTGCTCTGTTGTGGCCGTGAGATCAGGCTTGTGTGTGCAGTTTTTGTAAAGTTCCTGTTTTTGTCTCAGGCCGCCTCTGAGACAAAAGCAGCATTTTTTCCAAGCGTGGTGTCAGTACTCTGGTGGTGCCCGCATAGTTACATATTGAGTTCCTTGCTAGAGGCCGTCTACACTGCCATTTTTGAAGTGAATTAAAAACTGGATTGGAATAGAAGAATGTGACAGGTCGCCAGGAGAGTTCTGACTTTTTTACTTGCCAAGGCACTGTGGTGTTCAAAATCCTTTACAGTGAAAAACCAGGAGTAGATTTGAGTGATACAAATCTGTTCAGGCATTGAAGGAAATAATTACCTTTAATAAGCCTTTTAGACTTTCCCAATGTGTAGGGAGGTGCTGTTTTCACCTGCACTTAATTACCAGCGTATTATTTTTCAGTTAATCATTTGGGAAGTGTTTAGGAAGATAGGGATCCTTTGGGCTTGTCTGCCCGGTGCTGACCTTCCACTAAAATATGCACCCAGGGGACCCGCTGGTAGGTGACATGAATGACTGAGCTTTAGTTTGTTAAACTGTAAATTTCTCCATTTTTTTTTTTAAACTCCTGCAAATTGAGAGGCTTTTGCTTTGCCCTCTCAAGAGATCTCATTTTTTTGTCCTGAAGTATTGTCTTTAAATCTCTGGTGACTTCCATTCAAATCTTTTAAAAGTTACTTTATACTAAGTCAGGTATCTCTGATTAGCTAGAAGGAGTGGTTTGGATGGTTGGTTGCCTCAGAGGAGATTAAAAATAGGAGTTGATTGCGTCTACATGGAAGGGGAAAGCCTGGGAGCTCCTTATTTTTGGTGCCTATTTGCTTCCAGCTGATTTTGTTTACATCTCTGGGTATTTCTAGACATAATCACTAGAAACATTTGAGGAACTATTTCTAGGACTCACTACTGATTAGCTCACCTTTTGCTCTTTTAGAAAGGTGTGAAACTCTGACAAGCTGTGAATGCCAGAGCTTAAGGGTTTTATGGACAAATGAATGGTTTGTTTTCCTATGCAGTATTGTTTTGGTTGGCGGGTGCCTTAGTTTGAATTTGTTTTGTACGCATTTATATTGTGTTACCTTCTATTTTATTTTCTTTAGCTCTGGAAAAAATACAGTTGAAAAAATGTGACTCTACCCTGTAATGTAAGCATATTGGCCATCTGTCTGTCTGTCTCTCTCTTTTTTTTTGTCTTTTTCATTTTTATCGGTACCAGGGATCGAACCGCCTGCTTGCAAGGCAGGTGCTTGTACCACTGAGCTAAACCCCCAGCCCCTGTCTCTTTTCTTTAAAGTGCAGAGCTGGGTGACTGGAGAACAGGTAGACATTAGGAATTTAACCTAACAGTCTAAGAGCCCCCTAATCTGTGCTATGACTTGAGGTACCTGTAGTATAGTTTGTATCACATTTTCTCTGTATTTCCTACTTGAACAGGAGCTCTTGCCTTAAAAAAAAAAAAGTGACTGTGTTTGTAATGACTGGTGGCATTGTTGTAGTTATTCTCTATTTCATTCATGTTTTTTCAGTTCAAGGCTTAAGCACAGGGGTGATCTGAGCTATATACTGTTAGAGAATTTTCTCCATGCTTGCTGATGTGCTCGGTTGCTGGCTTTGGTCTTAGACAAGCCAACTCTGAGCAGAAATGTGGGCTGGTGCCTCCTTCGGGCTGTTTGCTGCAGAGTGTATTGCAGAGGCTTGTGATATGTCTGGTACTTCAGGCAGGTCACTGTGACACGTTGCTTCCGGTTCTGCCCCAAAAATGACAGCCTGAAACTGTCTTGAGAAGCATTTAGTAATTGAATTAACGTGTAATTGTTTTTCCAGTGGATGTTGAATAGTAGGTTTCTACACATTTCCATAACTGTTCATACATCTGTGTATGTATCAGTCAGACAGCAAGCTCTCTCTCTTTTTTTTTCTGTCTTTTTGAGACAGGGTCTCGCTATTGCAGTTCAGGCTGGCCTTGAGCTCACTTTGTAGCCCAGACTGGTTTTGAACTCGAAACAATTCTCCTGCCTCAGCCTCTGGAGTGCTGGGATTACAGGTGTGAGCCACCACGCCCGGCTAACAGCAAGCTCTCTTGTCTGAACTTTATTCATATGTACATAAAGTAGCACTAATTTGGGGAATTCATTTTTAAGTCTTTCTACTAATATGTTTGTAGAATGATTTTCTTACACTTTGTTAAAGCTTTACTAAACTTATTTTTTTGAGACAGTATCTCATGTAGTTCAGGCTGCCTTTGAACTTGCTTATGTACCCCATTCCTCACACTCTCGGTGAACCTCCTGACTCAGCCTCCTGAGTGCTGGGATTATAGGAGTGCATCATCACACCCTGCTCAGATTTACTAAATTTAATGATTGAGTAGAATAGGGATCATTATCTTTCCCTCCTCCACTTTGCTGTTTAGCCGAAGGTTTTTTTTTTTATTTTAAAAATGGTTAAATGTTTTATCTAAAATTGCACATCTAATAAGTGCTAGTATCTCATGCTGCCATGTAATTATGGCATCTGAATGATTTAAATATCTAATCTGTTATTACACAAGCTGTTAACTGTATTTTTACTCTTAAGGAAATACAATCATACAGTTGTATACAGTAATTCTGAAGAGTCCTGTTGATTCTCTTTCTGACATCCCTCAAAAATCTGTCATGTCTGTGTGTTGATCAGCTGAGATACAGAGGTAAGTAGGGTGCTGTGTGCGTGCTCAGGGTGTGCTGAGCCCTAAGGAAACCACTAAAAACTATCAACACAACAGTACACGAGACCAAGGTACCTTCAAAGAGAAGAGGAGGCTATTTGCTTTGCTTATGTGAAAAAGGAATAGCAGAGAACTGTAAATACAATACTGGATTGTGTGGTTAGTAGAGAAGGCTGTGATTTCGCCTGTACAGTTAAGTCTAAGGGTCAGGAAAGAAGGTTGTTAATCATATAGATCTGCGGCAGGGCTCTGATGAACTCAAGTCTGAGAACCATCCAGAATTGGACTGGAAAGGTATTTAAAATAAAGTAACACTTACCAGAAGGAATCCTATCTTTTGTTCTTTGAATACTTCTCTGATCACAAAGAAACATAGATACATCTTGCCTTTCCTTACTTGTATCATTATTTATTTCTGGGCCCTTTCTTTTATTTTATAAAAATAAGGGCTATATTCTCAGTCATTCTTTGAAACTGGGTTTCATTAAGTTATTTGCCCAGGATAGACTCTTAACTTGGATTTCTCTTGCTTTAGTCTCCTATGCTAGGATTACAGGTGTGGGCCACTCTTCCTGGCTATACTGTGGCCCTTAAAGTATGGCACAGGGTCCTCCTTGCAGAGGGATAAAGGGAGGCTGCTTCCTGGGAGTTGCAGTGAATTCTCATCAGTAGTGAGGAAGAGCTACGTAGGAGAGTCTAAGAGGGATGGAAAAGATGCTGGGTAAATATTGTATTTTAGTCTCAGAAGTGGACAGGTAGACTTAAGCAACTGGAAATCAGTGAATCCGTTCTGCTGTCAGTGAATCCCATCCTAGAATGGGAAGCAAGGCCACTTATCCTCAGTAATTTAGCTATGGATTCATAGATTACACCTTACCACAGAGTGCATCCAAACAGTTTTACTACTTGATACTAGGCATTTTAAGGAAAGCAGGAGTGTAGTTTTTATGGATTTTTATCTTTATAGCACTGAGGATTGAACCTAGGCCTTCACGTTCTAGACAGATGCTTTACCACCAAACCACATTCCTCTCCCTCCTTCCACTCCTGTTACTAGTTTTATTTTTGTTGTTATGTTTTTTGAATCAGGGTCTCACTGTGTAGTTCATCCTAACTTTGAATGCACAGCTATCCTGTTGCCTCAGCCTCCCAAGTGCTGAGATTATAGGCGTGCGTCAGTATACCTGACATTTAAAAAAAATACTTGGATACTGACCAGGCTGATCTTGAATTTGCTGTAGCTCTCCCTTACCCTTCATAGTAACTTGTCACAGGCATGTGCCACTGTGCTAGGCTTTGTAGTTTTTTTTGTTTTAAGGTCCTAGGGATTGAATTCAGGGGCTTTTCATTAAGCTTGACACCCCTCCCCCCCACGCCTTATTTTGGTGACAGTGACCGAGTTTCCCAGGCTGGGCTCAGATCTGCCTTAGTTTCCCACAGTGCTGGGATTTTAGGCATGTGTCATCATACTCAGCTCTAT